CAATACAAACGAACGGAAGTGAATATGCAGCCGTTCTCATAGCAAACCGACCAAACGCTCAACTAATTGAGTTGCATTCATAATTTATGTCCCAATAAAAGTTACTTTACTATTTCGATTGCGCTCACACTAAGCAATGTTGATTTCCGTAGAATTCGTTATTAATTTGCCATTCACGGCATTTTCCTTCTTGCCACCAAAGCCTTTTCCCACCAACATAGCTTGCGCTGCCGCTGTCAGTGTTTTGCAACTTTTAATTACAAACTACCAGCAAAAAAGGAAAACTTTCCCAAACAAGCACTACACAGCAGAGCAAACAGTATTTTCCAATTTCGACAATTCGGTTTCCATCCGATGTTAACAGTTAGCATTTTGCATCCATTTACTTAACGGATCCTTATGTTGACTTATAAGTATGTCCATGCATATGCACATACACGTATTCATAGCAAGTCGGCATATGAATAAATAATTAAATAAACTTGTTTTGGTGCCAACTATCTTGGCAAACAACCCTTATACACGTATGTATGCGATTTTAGTTACTTTAGTTACTAATGAAGCATGTAATTAAATACTTAATATTGGCATTGCTATATATTATATTATAATTGGCCAAATAATGGGGCAAACAAAAATGATTCTGTAAATATAGGAAAGGCATTACCTTTGCGGATGACACAATATATTACTGTGGGCAAAAAGTATAAATTTTTTTGTAAATTAAAAATCTTTATTTATTCTTCTACATCGATTTAGTCGCATTCAAAATTATCCCCTGCCGCCAACGCTTCGCGTCGATTCACGTTTAATCTCCTCAATCAATTCAAAACGGTGTCCTCGAAGTAGTCTCTTGAGTTTTTGGAAGAGCCAGAAGTCGCATGGCGCTAAGTCCAGCGAATACGGTGGTTGGGGAACGTTATTCCGGGAATTTTTAGCGAAATGGTCACGAAGAATGAGTACTGTGTGCGGCGGTGCATTATCGTGATGCAAAAACCAAGAATTGTTGGCCCATAATTCTGTTGACGCATAATGCTTCATTATTTACCGTTTCCTTATTTACCCCTTGACCAGACGGAAGAAATCCATAGTGCACCACACCACGAAAATTGAAGAAAACAGTCAGTACGACCTTGATATTTGAGCGACTTTGACGTGATTTTTTCGGTTATGCCTCACCTTTAGCACGATATTCGTTTGATTGGACGGCGGCTTCAAGGTCGTAGGCATAGATCCACGACTCATCTCCTGTAAGCATGCATTTCAGCTTGTCCTAGTAGTCAGAGAGCAGGTTTCACACACATCAACGCCATTTTTTCCATAAAATTTAGTGATTTTGTAAACAAACGAGATTTGACTTTTCGTAGGCCCTAATAGTCGTCAAAATTGTTTTTACATATCCTTCTGCTATTCCAATCATATCAATAAGGTCTCTAACAACCAATCGATGATTTTTGATCACTAATTCTTTAATTTTATTGACGTGTTGCACATCAGTTGACACTGTACATCTACTATGTTACGACTTATCTTACCTTAATAGTAAGAGTGACGGGCGATGTGTGCATATTTTAGAGCTAAAATCAAAACTATAATCTTTTAATTTTTACTATCAAATCCACCTTCATTAAAATATTTAAAAATTAAATCCGTTTAAATAAATTTATTGTAACCCATCTCTTCTTAAATATAAGCTACACCTTGATCTGATATAAATTATAAACTAAATTATTGAAAATTATTATTCTAATAAAATATTCTGATAACGACGGTATATAAACTGAAAAACAAATTTAAGTGAGGTACATCGTGGATTATCAATTATAGGACAGGTTCCTCTGAATAGACTAAAATACCGCCAAATTTTTTAAGTTTCAAGAACATAACTAATACTACCTAAGTGCTTATTTTTACATTTTAAATAATAGGGTATCTAATCCTAGTTTTTAATTAAAATTGCCCAGTAGTATATCTATAACTGCTGAAGCAGTTACCAACAAATGGAGGAACCTACAGTTTAGCTTAAGTCACCTTCGAACGGCCTAGAGATTTTTAAAGGCTTTTATTCTATGGCAGAAATACATTCGGAGAACTTGACATTCTTTGCCGAGGGGCAACCAAAAAAATTTATTTACTTTAACTTTCGGATGTTAATTGCATCAGAACTCGAAACCTTTGCATCCGAATTGTAGTATGGAATGCTAACCACTTCTATATGGCGGCCGCTAACCGTTGTACCGCGTAAAATTTCCAAGTAAAATATAAAAAACCACTTAGGGTGCCTTGACTTCTATTCGTGGATTGGTTGACAAGCAAAAGTCAATGGGTCGAAGAGAAGTTTTTAGGGTTTACACTTCAATTTGTGATGTGATTATCTCTCCACTGCACGCTTGTACTTGCATCCGGTATATAGTAATTTTTCTGATTTTGTTCTCAGTCAAAATTTAATTTTTTATAATGTGAAGAAACTCGCTTCGGAAAATGGAGTTGGAAAATATCGAATTAACGAAAAATGGTTCTACAGGTAAGAATAACTTCCTTTTTATGCTCACCTCTCATAAATTAAGTATTGATCATTATTAAAAAAAAAAAAATAATTATAATCAAAATCAAACAACTGTCACACGAGTTATAACATTTACTCGACTGTTTTTTTTTTTCAAATATCTGATTTTGTTTTATAATTCTTAGAGTTAGAAATCGAAGAACATTAAAATTAACAAAATCGGGCGACTATAATATACCGCCATACCATCCGGCCAGATATACCAACTACTTGAAGTGTATTCTAGAACAAAATGAAATTAAATCAGATGTTGATGTAGCTCTCATGCAACGCCATAGACAGGAACAGATAGTAATCTCTTGGTGCGAGATCTAGACTATAAGATGGATATATAAAACCTCTCCTACCAAGCTCTCGGAGCTTCTGACGAGTCACTATCGATGCATGCGGCTGCTGTTGTCATGACGAAACACAATCCTCTTCTTGCTGGCCAAAGCAAGGACCTTTTGGGAGATTGCTTCCATTACAGGTTCAAATTAACAGTTTGAGCCCTTGGTGGTTGATTCCTTACCAATCTCAACAAAACGAACAATAAAACTTTCAAACAAGTCAAAATATTTGCGAGGGGTCTTTCATTTTTTAAGGACTGCGTAGAGCACACTTAGATTCCAATTGTGGGGCATGCTTTCTTCCGAACATATTCTGCAAAGTAGCTTCGTATGCACCTTGTCAGCTCTTAGCCGCCATATTTGAATAGCTCTGCCGGTAGGCCGTCAGCTCCAGCCGCTTTGCTGTTTTTGCATGTCAGGTAGTTTAACGTTCTTTCCGTTCTCATTGATTGAGGGTCTGCGTTCGACATCTCCCGGTGTTGCATTTTCACTACTATTCAGCAGGACGGATAAATGTACCCTCCATAAATTCAGTATACCCTGGGAATAGTTCACCTCTTTGTGTCATACAAGAGTCTGCTGTGATCTTGAAACCTTCTATATGGCATTGTATCTTTTCGAAGAATTTTCGAGCATTTTTTGTTTTTGTCTGAAAAGGCGTCTTGCTTCCCATTCAGCTCTATTTATCCATCCCAACCCGCACGGAAGGTTGCGAGGTGGGCAATCTATTTTCTTTCCATTGCAATTCGACATTTTTCATCCTATCAGCGCTCTGATGCTGCCGAAAACCAATTGTTTCCGTAGTAGCGATACGAAGGGAGCTGGAGAAACCGCTCCACAATATCCTTATATCAAGTTGCTGATGAGTGCTCTCAAAATGCAGATGTACATGTCGAGTAGGAAAGCGTTTGGCTAATTATTATGATTGCAGCTTTTCAACGTCAAACCTTCCTTGTGTTTGTTAACGGCAGTTCTACGATATACAGATGCGAGTGCGTATCTTCATAGCGACGAAATGGTGATCCGAGTCGATGTTAGGATCTCGGTCTTCATAGCGACGAAATGGTGATCCGAGTCGATGTTAGGATCTCGGAACCTTACGCACATAGAGAACAGTGAATATATATCTTCGTGCTGGAATCTGGTAGTACTACATTCTAGACCCCAGCGAAGTCGATCAGCCTTGTCGAGCAGGCTAAATTTTGCGGCTGTTGTCATAAAAATACCTTCTGTGGCCACCTTGTCACCAAGCAGAATTTTTGCACTCTTGATCACATGTTTCTTCTCTTCTGTCGTAAAATTTTTCATTTGCTGTGGGACCCGCCTACGCACAACCGCAAGGGGTTGGCTGCCTCACTTTAGCTCACCTTCAAATGGATATTTGTTGGCTACCCAGAGAACACTTTGTCTAAGTCCGTTAGTCGTGAGCTGTCTGAACCATACCTAAAAAATCGTTTCTGGCCACTCCCAGGTGAAGTATCAGCCAAGAACTTATCCTATTTGAGTGAAATTCTAACATTGCCCCATTCCCGATGAATCGAAGCTGCCTAACATTACATCTACTATTGTATTAAACAGATTTACTTTATATCTTTACGCATGCAGCATACTTTTAGGTAATCATTAGGGCAATTCTCACAAGGACATTGAGGAAGTAAGTGTAAAGCTCTTAAACTCATTATGTCTTCGAAGTGTTGTAAACTACTCTTACAACACCATTCGGAGCTAAGCTTTTCACTTCATTTCACTTCACAAGTCACAACGCTCAGGAAATTCTCGCCACAAAGTATGGTATGGTCACCATGGAGCTGCACCATATAATTTCGTTGTGCTAATAGGAGGAATGGTAACTTCGCACCCACCCATATTTTACACACAGAGCTCGATGAACTAATTAGGTGTTTCCTAATTTCGAAAGTATTATCTTCCTCCTACGACCGATGTTGGACATATAGTAAACTCAAAATACTTACCATAATTTTTTCACCACTTTCTAAATTATAAACTGTTAATAACACGTTAACAGAGAGACAATAATTTATTATAAAAATCGGGAAAACCTAAATTACCACCAGTACTGTGGTCGCCGGTGTAAATAAAAAGGATTAACCGCGGAATCTATTGTTGCGAGCCCGTCTGTTGCCACGAGATTGTCTATTATTACGTTGGCGGGCATTGTTTTGTCGGCGTACGTTATTTCGGCGGCGGTTGTTGTTTTGACGACGCACAGCATTCTGGCGACGCCTGGCATTTGCTCGATTATTCTGTCGGCTTGCTTGTGGACGTCTAACTGCCTGGCGAGCTCTTCGGACTCTTTGCTGTGTATTTGCTCTACTGGGGCTAGCGCTGCTGCTGCTCACACTGTCATCACTATAATCACTATCACCATTGCCACTTTGGTCATCAGCAGCTTCACTACTGCCGTAATCAACGTCTTTAGCGCTGTAGTCTGCACCGTCATCTATATTACTGATAGTGTCGTCATCGCTTGCTGCACTATCGGCTGCGGATGACTCCTGTATTAACAATAAAGACGCCACAAGACCGAACAGCAAAATTGTTATGACCTTCATTTCTGCTTCTCGTTAAAACTGAATGAAAATGGAATAAAACAGTTGGAGGGAAGAACTCTTATATACCACAAAGTAGTTTGGACTTATTGTTGTTGCTGGAGTATTTAAATACATTAGTTTATTTGCACAGTATGTATTTGCTGATTTAATATTGGATAATAAACATTAATACAGACGTCTTTAATGCTATCCCCGCAACAAGAAATATAACACGTCAGTGGGAAAAAACTGTTAGAAGCCGAAGCCGTGTACATATGTACATATAAAATATGTACCTAGCGGTAATTCATCATTTTTTACCTCTTACTGAAACCACACTCAAAAGTTTATTTGAATTCAAGCTAAATTTTGCAATTATGGTCGCCCCTCGGCGGGCAATGTCAACCTGACATGAAATAAAGGCTCCTCATAGAAAACCATCAGCCATTCGGAGACGGCTTAGCATAAACTTTAGGTGTAAGTTTAGAGGTTAGTCGTACAAGGATTTGAACCCGGGTCTTCCAAATACTAATAATAATCACTCGGCTACTGTGGCCACCTGATAAAGATTCCATTCTGATATATGTAGTTATTATACACCCAAATAAAAAATTCTGTTAGATCAGCTGGCTTACAGGTTGTAGCAACAGATTTCAGTTAAATAACATCCAAACTATTAGTCTGTAAATTTAACAGATGGTGTTGTGTTGATTAAAAAATTACAGTCGTGACTATATTTATGCCATTCATTTCTGTTAAAATTATCATTCAATCTGTTAATACAACTGCAAAATTACTGTTGCTGTTTAATTGACAGTAAAAATTGTTATTTCTTTCCGTATTAAAAAAAATTGTATGAAGTAAAATTTTAGTAGGATATTTATTTTATTTATGCACAGAATAAAAAGTTTATTGCGTACTGGTTTCGGGCTAACATCCAAAAGTTAGAGAAAATTAATTTAAATAAATAAAACATGAAGTTAAATTTTCTAATTACGGTCGCTCCTCGGCAGGGAATGTCAACCTCTCCAAGTGTATTTCTGACATGTAATTAAATCTTCTCATAACAAACCAACAGCCGTTTAGAGACAGCTTAGTATAAGCTGTATGTCTCTCGCTTTAGCAGTTACAAATCACCAATTATGCATTTATATTTATATTTATTAGTATAACGATTTCCTCCAAATTGGATGCCAAGGCAGTGTTGACCAAAGAACTATCCATTCCTTCTTGAATTGGTACTCTGTCAAACCTATGCCTCGCAATAGATGTCGCAATTGCATTTTCCAAGAGATAAATTGCATTCTTCGCTTTGCACGTTCATTTCATAATATTGGCCCCAAGCTGTAACACACTGAAATATTAATATTGAGTTCAATAAGAACAAATAATAATATTTTGCACATAATAATACATCCCTTTCCTCCTTTCTCTTTTTTTATGTTAATATACATATGATTACTCTATCAAATGTACGCGTTCATACAAAGTACTGTTCATTCTAGAATTTTTGTGAGTTAAACAGTAATATTTGGTGGCTGTTAATATTGAAAATTATCATCAATTGAATTAACAGGCAATCGAAAACAACACAATTTCCGTTAGTTCAACAGTGCGATCTGCTAATATAACAGTTGTTATTTCTCTCGGTGTGGAAAATCGGAAAGCGTAACGCAAAAGACTCAGATTTTCAGAGACCTACCTCGCCATCTAATTGAGTATTGAGTATTTTTTTTTTACACACTCCAATGTTGATACGCAAAATTATATGTATTAGATTTGTTTACCCGGTTGGAGCGGCTGTATCGGCTGTATTCAGTCTGTATATCAAATCTTTGTTAGTGACAGCACAAAATGCGCTTTTTGTATGGTAAAAATTCTTACAGTATAGTCAGTATTAGTGATTTTTCATGACTTCTTCTTCTTATTTGGAGTGATTATTTGATTAAAAAAGAAGGTCTGTTATACGGCTTTTCAACAGCATCAGGAAAAACATTATTCCCCTTCTTAATTACGAATGCGAATTACACCCATTCACAAGGCACGCAGTTTTCGGTTTCGATTGTTTGATACATTTGAAAACGCATGGAAAATGAAAGATTTTAGTAGAAGTTAATAAAATCTTGAATTGAATTTTTTAATGTAATACCAGTTTCTTTAATATTTCGCATTTTGTGAACGGGCTGGGAAGATAACTAAAGATAGTAATACTGGGAATAAGGCATATCGCATAGTAATGAAGTTTTGGCTTTGCCTTATTTTTCAAATATTTGCAATGAAATATAAAATATTTGCCTTATTTAATATATACAGCTGTTTTGTATAAAACATGAGCTAATACTCGTACATATGTATTTCGATGGAAGATTCTATGCTAGATGTTTATTTTTCTACAAAAGAAGAAATCGAAAGAGACCGAATAGAATTTTTTCCGTATTTGTCAAGAAACTAGTATGATCAGTTGAGTAATTGCGTAAGCTATTTTTTGTACTTGCCTTCATCTCCTACCCCCAGATTGTAAATTTCGCCCTTTGATCCAGTCGCTTTGCTTGTTTCACAGTACATTTATTAATACAATAAGCTTTCCAAAAAAATCATTTTCGAAGAAAATTCAAAAACAAACCTGCTTTTTATTGATGTATATTATAAACTTTTAATATATGTTCGATATTCTAATATCTGAACACATCTTAAAATCTACTACTTTTTACGCGTTCGAATATTGAAGCATAAACTTAGCGTAGTCGGGTGTTATGAAATGGAATGTTCTTAGAAAAATTATGTTCTGTTATCCAACAACCAACTGTCACCGACTGCCGAAAACTTGAATAAACAAAATTCTGTGACATAAACATCTAATTGTTGAAAATTACTGTTTATTTGTACTTTCTAGTTAAAGTTCACAAAAAAGTAATTTCACAGTTTTTAAAAGTACTTTAATTATTTAACCTTCATTTTGAAGAAACTCATAAGAGAAATTGAATAAAATAAATAAACATTATTCTTTAATTTGTAGACCTTGCCCTTCATTTCATTATTAAATAATTTTTAATTTAATTAATTAAGTAGATAGCTGGTTATTAAAATTATCCTTCACAATGTCTTGTAATCGATTCGGATTTTTAATTTCGGAATTCATTATACAATACAGTTATTGAAGTTCCGACACCAGTTCTACGGAGTAAATTTACTTTTCTAGGTCTTCCAAAAAAACCAAGTTTTTGAAAAAATGGAAAGTCAGGAGATTAAGATGAGAGACGCCCATTTTGATGATGATCCCTGCAAACGTTTTAAGGACAATTGAGAAGGTTGCATGGCTACATCACCGCCGCCTAAGAAGTGCAATGGATGAAACGATAAACGACAAAAAGTTGGTCCTTGTAAAACCGTCACGGAGTACTACCATTCATTTCGGACAGAGATCTGTAGAAAGACGAGGACGATGCGGCCAAATACGACGCCTTTGATCGGCTTTAACGTGTCTGCGAGCAGTACCCACGCCACGATGTGACAATTGTGCTTCGCGATTTTAACACCAGGTTGGGCAAAGAAGATGTTTTTGGCACAACAGTCGAGACCATGTCGAAACATCCCTAAATGGACCAAAGCTATTCGCTGGGTGCTCGAACTATTTATGTTTTTCGGTAGTACTAGTTGTCCATAAAATAAAAGTTTTCCAGATGAACATACAAACCCGAGGACGGTGATAGTTCCTCAGATCATAACCTGTTGTGAGAGAGATATGCTACCGCCTTTGCATATCAGAGAACGCCAATCAACAGCAATAAGGATGTCTAAAAGCTCCAATCTCAACCGAGAGCCAAATGGTATTCTGCTCAACTTGCCCACTTACCTGCTGAGGGCAGACACCAGCTACTCGATATCAGGAAACTCTGGAACGGCCTTTCGTTAGTGAGGGCTGGTAAGATAAGGAAGTGCAGCGGACCACAACACGTGGTAGATGGAATAGAAGCCGAAAGCTAAAGAAGAAAACAAGAGACATTTGCAGAAAAAAGGAAGAGACCGTAATACGTGAAAAGGAAAATCTTGAGCAGCTGACCGACAAAGTAAATGTTCGAAAATTATATGAAACGACTAAGAACCATGGAGATAATCTGATATCCAGAGCATACTTTGTGTATAGAGAGAACACTTCTTTAGCCTTCTGAATGACATTGACGGCGATGGAAAAGACTTTCCACTACCCGACTATGTCTGGGTTCGGATAGCGATTGGCCGCTTAAGAAACCAAAAGGCGGCTAGAGACAATGGCTTACCGGGAAAAATATTTAAACATGGCAGCGAAGAATACAGAACGATTTAAACCTATGTGTGGTTTGCTTTAGACCTGTTAAATCCACCACTGACCAGATATTCACAATGCGCCAGATCTTGCGAGAGACTCATGAGAAAATAATCGTTCTACATTCAGATTTCATCCATTTTAAAGCTACCTTTGATAGCACAATATGGAGCTGCCTCTGCGCCGCTATGCCTGAATTTGGTATTCGAATGGTTTTGTTTGTCGTGTACAACTGCTGGGATACGATGATTAAACTGATACAAAGGACCGCAACAGCCTCGAGGGTTCTGCTTTTTCCAGACCAAATTAATATTTATAATAATGTCAGCCTTGAAATCCAACGTAGAACCATTGGTGTCCTCATCGTTTTCCTCCTACAACATGGTGCCGAAGCGTGCACTATTTCAACATCCGAGTCTTCATGAGGAAAATTTTGTGAACTATTCATGGACCTTTGCGCATTGGCAACTTCGAATACTGTAGACGTTGGAACGATGAGATGTAGAGGCAGCTTCTAGGATGACTAGGTCTTGTGGTCTGAATGGATGATAGCACTTTAGGTTTGAAAAATTCAATGCAGACCCAGAGGGATATTTTCACTAAGGTGAACAGATGATGTGGTGAGTAACCTAGGTAATTTCAACAGGCGCCAAATAGCACAGAGAACGAACAAATGACCCGCTATTGTTGTTTTTTTTTGTAGAGCGGTAAAAACATA